TTGTGCATGCTTGTCCTCTTCTCTGTAAACCATAAAAAACGCTCTTCGTACAAGGCTGCCAGAAGCAAGGTTAGACGTTTTGTGAGCTTTTTATGGCTGTCTGTGTCCCCATATGGAAGATTTCTCATAATTTCCTGTCTAATTTACAACTGCCAGGTAGAATAGGAAGTAAAGGAGAATTTTCCCCATTTCTCTATCTTATGGGTGTCACACAAAACAGAAAATGAGGTAAAAATCCATATACAGAAATAAAATCAAATGTTGTAGCAAAGTGAAGAAGGTTTGTTACCTTGGTCGGAATTTTATTGCTTAACCATTTCTTTACCACCACATGTTTATAAACAGCAGAGTGGTGGACTGTTATTTTGCCAGTGCTGTTTATAAGCAGTATTCGGGAAAGCACTGTCGGACAGCTGTTGCACTTGGTAATGGCTGTGAACCAAGCCGTCATTGGACAGCTCAGTTTAGAGACAAAGTGTACTGAGCCGATCTGAGCACCTCTGTACCATGTGATCAGTGTGATGACCAGGGGAGGACTGACAACTCATAGGGCCCCCGGGCAATAGGGGATCATGGGGCCCCTGGGAAATAGGGGATCATGGGTCCCCTATGTCCTTGCCCACACTCAAGCCACACCCAGAAAAGCCTATGAAATGTACCAGGGGCATCTCATGGAGCCCCCTGCTGACCCTGGGCCCTTGGGCAGTGCCCGAGTGGCCAGACCGCCCCCGTTGGTGACCAATTACAGCACTCACTCTACTGTTTACATTGGAGATGGAGGAAGGAGAAGCCATAGTAGAAATCTATGAATACAGAATGACGGCATGGGTCAGAAACAGCAGACAATTCATAGTGAGAGATCTTTTTACCCATTTCACCTCCTCTCCTCTTCTGTACATCAGATCACCAGCCTGTCTCTGTATGTGACCTGTGTATTGACTCGTTCACCTGTACATCTGCACATTAACCCTTTCATTTCCATCCTGCCCTTCATCCCCCTCCTCCTCTTTTTTACTACCTTGATCTATACACTAATGTATCTAGTGCACCATTACCATCTCCAAGTTTTAACCACTTCAGTACCAACATGTTTCTTCATTTCCAAAAAATTGTGTCAAGGAACAAAATTACCTTGAGGTGTTTACTTTCTAGAAAGGGGTCATTATGAGTGTTTTTGTGCTATCCTGGCATGTTAACTCAATCTGTATAATATAAAGTATGGGAAACTGTTTTTCCTATCCAAATTTTTAGTCTTTATCCCTTTCTATAGGAAAAAAAACCCGGTAGTTATTAAATGTTTGTGTCATTTTTTTTTACCCCCTGATGAAAGGGGGCAAAGTTTAGCCCCCCAAAATGTGTTGGCTTTGTGTACCATCTTCCATCTGATTTTGTATCTGGAATGTAGTGCCCTCCTATTAGGATTAGAATGCTAGGTAAATCTAGTTTGGCTCCACTGTAGTCATTGGAACAGTGGTTGATTGTGTTAGTCTGCTCAGTGTTTCAGAGTCTGCTGATATAATTATTTTCCCCCTGTATTCTAGAGAGTTCTAGAATCACAGAGAGAGGAAGGACATAAATTCAGCTTGAACATTTATGGGTATCCAGGCAACCACTGTGAAGGTGTGCCCAGTAGGTGGCTGGAGAACCCATAAATAGTATGTGGCTTGGAGCATGGGGTGAGTGGGTCCAGTTTCCAGTCCTGCAAGAGGAGTCTCCAGCCCAAGGGCCCCTAAGGGCAGTCTGTTGGAAATACTGCTTGGGGGTCATTAAGGTCTTAGCTATAGCATAGCTGTGGGACCTATTTCAAAGTCTCGTCTGGGATTTTGGTCTTGAGAGCTTGCTGAAGAGTACCCAAGTGGAAGTTGGGGGAGACTCTCCAGCTGTCCTGTGGAATTGTGAATTTGATTCTCTATCACTGAAGAGTGCCTGGTGAATATCAGGTGGAGGCAACCAATGATCCTGTGGCAGCCTAAACTCAGAACCCTAGTAACTGTGTGCAATTCTCTATCCTTCCATAAAGGCACTAGTCATTACATGGCCAGTGGTGTTTCTCTTGGGAACGCTATCTCATTTACTTGTTCTGATTATCACTTCATGATAGAGCAGTGGGAAGAGAAGTGTCCCCCACTAGTTCAGTCTTTTTGGGTTATCCCATGTTCCCTTTACCCATCTAAGTGTTATCTGTAAAAAAGCTTAAAAAAACACTTCCTAGACTGTTATTGAGCCGGAGAGAAAAATAAAATGCTGTCAGCCTGGCTATGTTTGCACTGAATTTGGGGAAAGAATGAATTTATCACCAGCTACTCCTTCGAGGGTGAGCTACAGGAATATGACATGTCGTGGTTCTTCAATATAAGATACATTCATTACAGGATGTCTGTGTCCTCATGAAGTTTACTTTACTTGACTTTCTGTCCAGGTAACAAGTGTCAGGCAAATCAGAAAACACAGATCAACAGGACACAGACCTGAGAGAAGCTCTAACCCTTCCCTACTCTGTTTAAAGCTATAAAAAAAGTTTTGTCTGGAGTTAGGCTTTAAACCCGAGAACTCTGTTGATCGTTTTTCAAGTCTTTTACCTGATATGAACTTTAGTGGATCTTTGTGTTTTGTTTCCGCACCTTTTTTCTAGCTGGTGGGATAACAATCTAGCTCATAATGTATATTTATGACAAGCCGAAGAAGACAGAACGCTCTGCAGATTAACTGAGCGACAGTTGTTCCATCAATTTATTCTAATCATGTCTGTAACATAATGTCCTCTAATGAAGAGATTTGGACAGCGGTGACACACTGCTTTGGTTGTTCTGAAATGACCATCCCTCAACTTGTCTGTGGTTAATTTTTTGGCAATCCTCTTGTCTGTGTTAAAAGCGCTAATACAAATGGGGCCTGCTAAATAACATTGACACCCAGTGGCTCAATAATATTGAGAACAGCAATGTATCACACGGCTCTCTGCAGGGAGAGATCATTTCAATGTTCAGCGTCTCCTCCCACACCGATTACTCACAGTGTGCTTTTAAAAACTACAAGAGAACCAATACAAAAGGACACTTGTAAAACAATGGGATTGTCAGGCTCATTAATAATTTCCAGGCAGAGGAGTTTGGATTTTCCTTATAGAAGAAAATGCAATTAGCATTACCAATTTGAATTACAGTCAGAAAATGTTGATTAAAAAGAAAAACCTAAAGGGCAGATAATCCCACCATACTAATGGTGCATATGTTAACATGTACAAATGTAATTCTTTACTTTATGGAAATGCCTACCTGCCATTCGAACTACATGATCCTCTCTGGAGCCTGGTTGTAAACCTTTACATATACCCAGTGAAGTGACTGGCCTCAGGTGATTCACAGAGACGAAACAAATCCTCCTACATAAGTTATACCTGTTTATCTGCAGTCTTGTCTCATCTACATACGCTGAAAGTGCTGAGCTTATAAAGCTTGTACAGCTGTCAAAACAAGGGGGCAGAGAGCTGAAGTTACACTCTGCAGAGTTCAGTGAGGAGATCTCTGAGAGCTGATTGGAGGAAAGGGAAAACCCCCCTCCACACAGCTCACAGGAACAGAGCTGAAGATTTCAATATGCTGTCCCTCCCCTGTCACCATTTTTCTCAGAAAAATTTGTAGGAAGTGATTCATGTTGATAGCAAAGTACACAGCAGACAGAAATTATATTTAGTGCTCTTAATTGAGACAAGTACACACTATAGATATGTTTTGTTCATTTTTCATGTCTGAGGTTTACAACCACCTTGAATAAAAAGGTGGATTCTGTTGGATTCAAATTTCTTCCTCTTACACAGCCTAAAAGACCCTTCTACTTCTGTGTTTTTCCCAAATAGTAAATGGTTAGCTTAAATTGCCATGCAGGACAAAACAACAGGTTATCTTTAATCCCACCCTCCCCAGAACCATATATTCACTTATCTCTGGCTCCTCTACTGCTCCGTTTAGTTGAGGGGAGCACAGTGTATGTGTCTATAGTGCTCATATCCCTCAGTCTGATTTACAGTATAGTAAAATGGGGGTGCAGTGTGTAACGGAACCAGAACCCAGACCGCACTGAGTTTTTCCGTTATACCACAGCTTCCCCTGTCCGAACACCATCCACGGACCACACCCTTGAAATCCCTCAGGAAAAAGACAGCACCCAGCTCTTCTTAATACAGGAAGCCAACTCTTTATTTTAACACAAAACACAGAATATATACAGAGGGCGGGGAAAGACAACCAGGGACAGGAAACACCTCATCAGCCCACCCTATCAGTGGGAAGGGCTACAGTATAGGCAGGAAACACCTCATCACCCCTCCCCATCCAACCAAGACACAGAACAATGGGATGCAGCCATGCGGCAAAGGATATTGACCAACCCCCACACCAATACACAAACAGTACATTCCATAATAGTTTGCTGGCCAGCATGTCACAGAACAATGGGATGAGGCACATGGCATAGAACAATAGGCAACCATGTGGCAGGGATAAAGGAACACACACTATACTCAAGACTGGGACATTCACATTTACACCCTGTACCCCTTAACAGGCACAGGGTGGGTTAAACATAATGAGGGGGGCATGAGCTGACCAAGCAGTCCCCCCATCCCCAAAAGTCACTCTCGTCACACAGTGCTAATAAAAACTCAATAGATAAATATATCTGTAAGTACAGTATGTCTCCAGTATATAGTTCATAAGTAAACAGTTTAAAAACAATTACACGGCCATGCAACACTGTACCCATATGAAATGTTTATAATTTGTTTCTCACAAATAGACCGTTCTTTTGGTGGTATTTAATTGCCACTGGGTGTTTCATTTTTTGCACTATAAAAAAAGAGCAAACAATTTGAAAAAAAAAGGTTTTCTTTGTTTCTATTATAAAATGTTGCAAACAAGTAATTTTTCTCCTTCACTGATGTGTGTTGATGAGGCTGCACTGATAAGCAGTACTGATGGGCACTGATAGGCAGCGCTGATGGACACTGATAGGCAGCACTGACAGGTGGCACTGATGGGCACTGATAGGAGACACTGATGAGCTGGCACTGATGATGCTGCACTGATATGCAACAATGATGGGCACTGATAGGCGGCACTTACTGACGGCACTGACTGGCAGCACTGCTGGGAACTGACTGGTGGCACTGCTGGGCACTGATGGGTGCCACTGATGGGCAGCACTTATGAGTGGCATTGATGGGGGGCACTGCTGGGTACTGGTGGGTGGCACTACTGGGCACAAGTGGGTGGCATTACTAGGCACTGATGGGCACAGGTGGGTGGCACTGCTGGGCACAGGTGGGTGGCACTGCTCGGCACTTGTGGGTGGTACTGCTGGGCACAGGTGGGCGGCACCAGTGGGTGGTACTGCTGGGCACTGATCATCAGGGCACTGATCATCAGTGCCCTGATGATCGGTGCTGATCCGTCCTCTGACAATTGCTGGTTATCAGCAGTACTTTCCTCACGCTGTGTCAGCGGGAGAAAAGTGCAGCCGATAACCGGCAACTGCATTTACCGCTGGTCTGCTGTGTCATTGAACACGGCTGATCACATTGTAAAAAGCCGCTGTGATTGGCCTTTTACCACATCATGTGATCAGCTGAATCCGTAGAGCACAGCCTTCATGGGGGCGCACGGGAGGGTGCGTTCTGGGAGACATACCCCTCTCAATAACACTTCATATGACGGCCTCCCAGGACTGGAAAACCGGGCTGTAGCGCTTAGTTAATCTCTGCCCCCACCTTGTCTCAGCTATTAGCAGCAGGGAGGACAGAACTCCTCCTCCAGATCCAACGCTTCTCCATGCAGCTGTGGGGAGGCTTGTATCTGCCCCCCACTCCATCTCAGCAGTCAGCAGCAGAGAGGAGGACAGAAGTCCACCACTAGATATAATGCTTCTCCATGCAGCCATGGAGAAGATTGTCTCTACCCCCTACTCTGTCTCTGCAGTCAGCAGCAGAGAGGACAGAACCTCTCCTGCAGATCCTGTACAGCCATAACATCCGCTTGCCTCTGCCTCCCCTGGTCTCAGCATTCAGCAGACTCTGGCATCTGACCCAAGCCCTCCTCCAAACTCTGCACTTTCTTCTTCCTAGCTCCACCCCCAAGCTTCTTTCTGGCAGTAGCAGCACAAGGTAAGAGGGGGTGCTTGTGATGTAAGGGAGGGTGGGAGACTCTGGACATCTAGTCTTACAGATACAACTGGTCCTTTGAGAGCAACCACAATGATAATGCGGCCCACAATGAAATTGAGTTTACACCCCTGATTTAGAATAAGATCTGAGATACAGACCAATGTCAGACATAAAATTATGATATTATTCTTTAATTAAAAGTCCAGACCTGTGTGGTACATGTCATAAAAGTATGTAACATCTCACAAAATTACGTCAGTGCAAAAAAAAAAGTTTTTCAGGATGCAGACTTTATTTATTCACTAAATCCTGCCACAGGTGCTGCTTTCATCTTTAGTGCAAACTTTCATGTCTGATTTTGTCATTATTATAACAATATCAGCTCTGTGCTATGTGAATAAAAATTGCCATTGTTTATCATTTTGATAGATATCAGTTTTGTCTCCTACAAATGAAATTTTTTATTTGAAGTTCATTTCTCCCCTGGATTCAAACTGAAACACACGATAATGGAAAGTGATTATTTAATATATTAAAAAAAAAAGATATTTTATAAAGTGCCTCATACAAAGGAACAATTTTGTATTTACATCTGCTATTATTAAGCGGTAAATTTATTTTTGTCACTTGTAAGAGATGATGGATCAGATTCTCTGAGAAAGTGAAGTTCGGCTAAAGAAAGTTATTTTGTGATATTTTTGCCTTAAAAACAGGTCATTAATTTTTTTCACGCTGCTAAAGACTAATGAAGATCTATAGAGTCAATCTCTTCAGCTTGTGAGCTGAAACAGCACTTTATTATTTTATTAAGCCTTGGCTACTGAGGTCCACTCCATCACCCTTAATACAGGAGTTTTAGAGCCAGGCAGCTCATTGCAGGATAGACACATTTTTTTTAATTGTGTTTCTGAGAAAATATATAGATGGAGTCTTCTATATTGTTTTCATTAATTGTTTAGGACCCTAGGGCAAATCTTTATATGAAAAAAACAATCTAAATTGGTCAGAGAAGGCTTTTTTTTTTTGTTCAAGTCTATACAAAATTGTTGTTTCCTTTTCAAATGGGTACCAATGGGCTGGACCACCCATCTTCCCTCGTACGAAGGATTTTCCTGCAGTAGTTTGTACTTTCAGCCTTTTCCCCAGTAGATTATAAAGAAGTGTCTCCCATCTGGACCCCAGAACTATTTGTTTATTCTACATTAGAGGGAATCCACTGTCAGAAAGTGCCATCATTATTAGGATGTGATGGATAAAACAACAAAAGGACAAAGTACTACTACAGTCCAGAACAAAATAAGCCATTATGTGATTCCGCTGGTCAGAACAAAGAACTTGAAGCACTGTTCAAAGCAGTATGAAACCTCCCCTGCAGTTCAAAGCACAGATTGGGTGCTGGTTTTCAAACAAGCTCATCCAAGCTAGCAGAAGCAAATGGGAAGACAGAAGGTGGAAGTGCCGCACAATGGAACCCAGCCACTATTTAGAAAGGTGAAGATCAGCTTCAGACTAAGCTCCTCCTGACTACACCCCTGTGCAATATTTTGCCCCTCCCATGGGAGGTAGTGTTTGCCATGTCCACAAAGGAGGCATCCCCTTCTTTCCTCTAGGAGGCATATTCTTGTCTGCTTAAATGCAGATAACTTTGTCTAGAGCTGAGCCATCCCTGTTTACCACTCAGTAATAGTATGGGCCAATAGAACAGTACAAAGAGCAACAGTGTAAAATACTCAGCAAGGAAGTTGATTACAAAACCAGTTAAAAAAGTAAAGATGATGTTTGAAGCTCATAGACATCAATTAAACATTAATGTATTGGGGTCAGATCACCAAGCTATAATTTCTTATTGGCTGCTAGGTGTTGCAGCACTTTGCACATTTCGCTTTACCGCTTGCTGAAGCTCCAGTGAAGACTTTTCGGCTGTAGAGCATGAATGGTCTTCTGTAATGCTATTTAGAAAACTGTCTCTTTAGTTGATAAGCCACTTTCACCCAAATTGTTTTCATTTGTGTCCTGATCAGATGAGCTGATCAGAAGACAGAAAGAAGGTGTAACAGCCCAGCCACTACACAGAAAGGTGAAGATACGTTTCAGCCTAAGCTCCTCCTGACTACATCCCTCTGATGTTTTTAGACTTCAGTGGCCCATTCGCCGTCAGTGCTCCATCCCCTCCCCTCCCCTCCCCTCCCCTCCCCTCCCCTCTGGAGGTGCTGCCTGACACTGAGGAGTGGGTTCATGTGACCAGAGCAGTCTACAAATAGGTAAGTATACACATCTTTCTTACACAGGTTGGTAAGCATAAGTGTTAGAAGGGGGGAGGGGTTATCACAGAATTCCACTTGGTCATAGATTGGTCATAGGTGGAGCAAAAATAATTGAAAGTGTCAAACTTTGACCTTTAACAGAATGCTAGTCTGCAGTAAAGGTGCATACCAGCATGAACTGCAAACCCCATTGAGAAGAAGCTCCAGGAGTTCTCCTACTACAGCCCATTCCTGGGACGGAAGGAACCCAAGAAAAATTAAGACACCTACACCGAAAAACTTCTCAAACCCATCAGAACCTACAGAGAGGCCCAATAAAAAGTTTTCAAGGTTCATGGGCCACAAAACTTGCCACCAGAGTGTGGCTATCTCCTGGTCTTCCACCATTTTCTCCAAGAGGGAGAATCCATGAATCCTAACAATATTAGAATATTAGAAAAATTAGAAAAATAATAAATGCATTTTGTTTACCTGTTAAAAAGTGTGCATTTATTATTTTCTTAAAGAAGAACTTATCCTTTAAATACACTTCAAATGTTTAATTGCAAAATAACAATGTTATAAAATCGTAAAAAAAAAAAGTAAATTAAAAAAGTTTCTCAGGTCAACCATTGGTTCATGTACCACATTTTTCTGTCCTGAAATTCTTTCAGAGTGGCCATTTCTTTTTAATGTAATGTAACTTACTTGCATGACTGTCCCATTTACATACAGTCAGGTCCATAAATATTGGGACATCAACACAATTCTAACATTTTTGGCTCTATACACCACCACAATGGATTTGAAATGAAACAAACAAGATGTGCTTTAACTACAGATTGTCAGCTTTAATTTGAGGGTGTTTACATCCAAATCAGGTGAACGGTGTAGGAATTACAACAGTTTGCATATGTGCCTCCCACTTGATAAGGGACCAAAAGTAATGGGACAATTGGCTTCTCAGCTGTTCCATGGCCAGGTGGGTGTTATTCCCTCATTATCCCAATTACAATGAGCAGATAAAAGGTCCAGAGTTCATTTCAAGTGTGCTATTTGCATTTGGAATCTGTTGCTGTCAACTCTCAAGATGAGATCCAAAGAGCTGTCACTATCAGTGAAGCAAGCTATCATTAGGCTGAAAAAACAAAACAAACCCATCAGAGAAATAGCATAAACATTAGGCGTGGCCAAAACAACTATTTGGAACATTCTTAAAAAGAAGGAACACACCGGTGAGCTCAGCAACACCAAAAGACCTGGAAGACCACGGAAAACAACTGTGGTGGATGACCGAAGAATTCTTTCCCTGGTGAAGAAAACACCCTTCACAACAGTTGAGCAGATCAAGAACACTCTCCAGGAGGTAGGTGTATGTGTGTCAAAGTCAACAATCAAGAGAAGACTTCACCAGAGTGAATACAGAGGGTTCACCACAAGATGTAAACCATTGGTGAGCCTCAAAAACAGTAAGGCCAGATTAGAGTTTGCCAAACAACATCTAAAAAAGCCTTCACAGTTCTGGAACAACATCCTATGGACAGATGAGACCAAGATCAACTTGTACCAGAGTGATGGGAAGAGAAGAGTATAGAGAAGGAAAGGAACTGCTCATGATCCTGAGCATACCACCTCATCAGTGAAGCATGGTGGTGGTAGTGTCATGCCGTGGGCATGTATGACTGCCAAAGGAACTGGTTCTCTTGTATTTATTGATGATGTGACTGCTGACAAAAGCAGCAGGATGAATTCTGAAGTGTTTCGGGCAATATTATCTGCTCATATTCAGCCAAATGCTTCACAACCCATTGGACGCCACTTCACAGTGCAGATGGACAATGACCCAAAGCATATTGCAAAAGCAACCAAAGAGTTTTTTAAGGGAAAGAAGTGGAATGTTATGCAATGGCCAAGTCAATCACCTGACCTGAATCCGATTGAGCATGCATTTCACTTGCTGAAGACAAAACTGAAGGGAAAATGCCCCAAGAACAAGCAGG